TCCATTTGCATGAAATACCTTCTCCCATCCCCTTACTTCCAGTCTGTAAGTGTCCATAGGTCTGAGGTGGGTCTTTTGTAGACCACTAAGCCAGTCTTGCTTTTGTATCCACTCAGCCAGTCTATATCTTTTGGTTGGTGAATTTAATCCATTTACATTTAAGGTACTTATTGATATGATCCTGTTACCATTTTGCTAATTGTTTTAGGTTTATTTTTGTAAATCTTTTCCTTCTCTTGTGTTTCCTGCCTAGAGAAGTTCCTTTAGCATTTGTTGTTAAACTGGCTTAGTGGTGCTGAATTCTCTTAACTTTTGCTTGTCTGGAAAAAACTTGATTTCTTCATCAAATCTGAATGAGAGTCTAAATGAGTAGAATATTCTTGGTTATAGGTTCTTCTGTTTCATCAATTGGAATAGGTCATGCCATTCCCTTCTAGCTTATTAGAGTTTCTGTTGAGAAATCGGCTGACAACATTTTGGGATTTCCCTTGTATGTTACTTATCTTTTTTCCCTTGTTACTTTTAATAATTTACCTTTCTCTAATTTTTGTCACTTTGATTACTATGTTTTGGTGTTTTCCTCCTTGGGTTTATCCTGCCTGGAACTGTCTGTGCTTCCTGGACTTGGTTGACTATATCCTTTCCTGTGTTGGGGAAGTTTTCAGCTATTATCTCTTCAAATATTTTCTCAGATCCTTTGTCTCTCTCTTCTCCTTCTGGGACCGTTATAATGCAAATATTGTTGCATTTAATGTTGTCACAGAGATCTCTTATACTGTCTTCATTTCTTTTTGTTCTTTTTTCTATATTCTGTTTTGTAGCATTGTTTTTCATCATTCTGTCTTTCGGGTCACTTATCTGTCTTTCTGCCTCAGTTATTTTGCTATTGATTCCTTCTATTGCATTGTTCATCTCTGTTTGTTTATTCTTTAGTTCTTCTAAGCCTTTGGTAAACATGTGCATCTTCTCCATTCTTTTTCCCAGATCCTGAATCATCTTCACTATCATTATTCAGAATTCTTTTTCTGGGAGGTTGCCTATCTCCACTTCATTTAGTTGTTTTTCTGGGGATTTATCTTATTCCTTCATCTGTGATATAACCCTATTTCTTTTCATTTTAGTTAGCTTTCTGTGATTGTTGTATTAGTTCTGAAGACTGCTTGGATTGTAGTTCTTATTTCTTCTGTCTCCTCTCTGGTGGATGAGGATAAGAGGCTTGTGCAAACTTCCTGATGGGAATGACTGGCTGTGGGGAAAACTGGGTCTTGCTCTGGTCCTGCTTTGTCTTGCTCAGTAAAACTTTAATCCAATTGTCTGCTGATTGGTAGGGCTGTGCTCCCTCCCAGTTTGTTATCTGGCCAGAGGTGACCCAGTCCTGGAGTCTACAGGCTCTATTGTAGGGCTATTGGCAACCTCCAAGAGAATCTACACTGAGACATATCTCCTAGGAACACTGCTACCAGTTCCCCTGTCCCCATGGTGGGTCTCTGCCAACACACACCTCAGAAGAAGGCCCTCAAACATTCACAGGTAGGTCTGGCTCAGTCTCCTGTAGGATCAGTGTTCCTTTCCTTTCAGTCCTGGTGTGCACAAAGTTTTGTTTATGTCTGTCAAGAGTGGTGTCTCTGTTTCCCCGAGTCCTGGGGCGGGGGGGGGCGGTCCTGGAGTCAAATCCCACCGGCCTTCAAAATCAGATTCCCTGGGCATTCCCAGCCCCTTGGCTGCATCTCCCGGCTGGGGAGCCTGATGTGGGGCCTAGAACCTTCACAACAGTGCAAGGACTTCTTTGATATCATTGTTCTCTAGGTTGTGGGTCTCCCACCCAGAAGGTATAGGATTTGATTTTATAGTGATTGTGCCCTTCCTACTGTTTTGTTGTGGCTTCTCCTTTGACCTTGGATGTGGGGTATCTCTTTTTGGTGGGTTCCAGTGTCTTCCTATTGATGGTTGTTCAACAGCCAGCTGCAATTTTGGTGCTCTGGAAGAAGATATAATGGTACGTTCTCGCGTGCTTATTGGCCATTCATACATCTTTTTTGGTAAAATATCTATTCAGATTTTTTGCCTGTTTTATAAATTTGGTTATTTGTTGTCTTATTATTGAGTTGTAAGTGTATTTTGAATAAACTCCTTTTTTAGACATATGACATATTTGCAAATATTTTGTCCCATTTCATGGGTTGTCTTTTAGAGCAATAAGTTTTAATTTTGTTGGAGCCCTATTTATCTATTTTTTCCTTTTTTCACTTGTGTCTTTGGTGTTCTAAGATCTTTGCCTAACCCAAGCTTATACATAGTTTCCTGTCCTATGAACTTTCTATTGTTTGAGCTCTTCCTTTTATGTCTCTGACCCAGTTGGAGTTAACTTTTGTATATGGTATGTTGTAAGGCTCCAGCTCAGTTCTCTGGCATGTGCCTATCCAGTTGTTTCAACACTAGTGATTAGAGGACTAGTCTCTTCTGAATTTTTTATCTTGGCATACTTTTCAAAAAATAACTGACAGTAAATGTAACTGTTTATTAACCAGATTCTCAATTCTATCCCATTGAATTTTTTTTTTTTTCCTGGCAGTATGGCCCTTTATCGAGAGTCACAGAACAAAACTACGTCTCTGGAGCCAGGTGCCTCCCAGGTACAGCTTCTGCCACAGGCCTGTCCCTGCGGGAGGAGGCTGGCAACCCGGCCTGAGACACACACTGGGCATACCGATCAGGGGCGCTGGGCCTGGCAGTGGGACCTTCGCACCCCAACTGCCAGCCCCTCACATGAGCCGGCAGCATGGTCTCTTCTCCATGGGGGCCTACTCTGAGGGAGCTATGAGTTTGAAAGATACCCCACAACCAAGGACAAAGGAGAAGCCACAGCAAAATAGTAGGAGGGGTGCAATCACTACAAAATCAAATCCTATACCCGCTGGGTGGGCAGCCCACAAACTGAAGAACAATGATATCAAAGAAGCCCTTGCACTGTTGTGAAGGTCCTAGGCCCCACATCAGGCTCCCCAGCCAGGAGACGCAGCCAAGGGGCTGGGAATGCCTGAGTTGGGGTGGGGGGGAGTGGGTCTCCACTCTATCCCACTGAACTTTATGTCAATTCTGTGTCAGCACCACACTTTTGATTATTTTAACTTTGTAGTAATTTTTTTTAATGGGAAATATAATTCCTCCAAGTTTGTTCTTTTCAAGATCATTTTAGCTTCTAGGTCTCTTACACATCCATATGAATTTAAGGTCAGATTCTAGGGGGCAGCAAGAGGCAGCTGGAATTTTGATAGAGATTATGTTAAATGTATAGATCAATATTTGGAAAATATTGCTATTTTAGTGTTATTAAGGCTTCTAGTCCATAAACATGCAACATCTCTTCATTTGTTTAATATTCTTTGACTACTTTCAGTAATGTTTTTGAGAGTAAAAGTCTTGTACTTTTTTGTTAAAAAAAATTTTTTTTAATCAAAAAAGTTAAACTTTTTCACTTTGTTTATCCCTAAATATTTTTTCTTTTTTGATGCTATTTTTGTGAATGAAAATATTTTCTTAATTTCATTTTTTAGATTGATAGAAATACAGTTCTTGTTTCTTTTGTATCCTACAGCCTTGGTGAATTTGTTCAGTAGTTCCTAGTAGTTTTTGTTTTGTTTTTTATTTTGTTTTTCTGTATGAATCCCGTAAGATTTTCTACATATAGGATCATATCATTGAATAATAAAGTTTTATTTCTTCCTTTCTAATCTACATACCTTTTGTTTCTTTTTCTTGCCTTGTCACACTGGTTAGCACATCTATTACAGTCTTGGATACAAGTGGTGAGAGCAAACATCCTTGCCTTGTTTCCAGCGTTGGGATGAAAGCATGCAAACATTCACCATTAAGTGCGATGTTTGACCTTACGTTTTGAAAATCAAATCTTTTATCAAGTTGAAGAAGTTTTTGTCGTAAATGGATGTTAGATTTTGCCAAATAATTTTTCTTCATTTATCAAGATGATCATGCGGTTTTTTCCCATCTATTTTTAAAATACGGTGTATCACATTATGATTCAGATGTTAAGCGAAAGCTTTCACTCCCAGGGTGAACCTCCCTCAGTCAGAGCTTACAGCCTTTTATGTGTCCCTAGGCTTGGCTCTGCATGTATTTCGCTGAGGACTTTCTGTGCTCATATTTATCAAGCGCTGTCGGTCTGCTGCTTTTGTGTGTTGTCTTTGTCTGGCCTTGGTGTCAGGGAGTGGCTTCCCGATTCTATAATAGTGGCTTCATAGAATAAGCTGGAAAGGCTTCCCTTCCCTTTTTTTCTGAGGCTTGCAAAAAATACACGGTATTATTTTCTTGGAAGTTTTAGTAGAATTTACAACTGAAGCTATTTGGGCATAGGTTTAACTTTATGTAAATATTTTCAGTTACCAATTTATTTGTTTGTCATAATTCTATTTAGATTTTGTTTCCATTTTATTCAGTTTTGGTATTCTGTATCTTTATGGGATCTTTTTCTATTTCACAGCTTTTTCATACTGCAGCTTAACATATGGGCAAGATTGGTTTTCAACTAGTACACTCCCATGCAGTCATAATGGTTATTAGTTCCTAAGAGCCAGTACCCTGAGAGAGCTCCTGCCTCTTCTCTAGCCTCGCTACAACTCCCCACCTGTCAGCACCTGAAGGTTAACACCTGGGACAGCGGGGGACATTCAGAATCCAGCTAATTCCAACATCGTTGTCATCTATACAGATTGATTGGTCCCCCTGCTATACCAGTTATTAAATTTTTGAACATCACCTCTTGGAAATGGAAGACCGAGTCCCCACGTCAGACCTCTACTTCCTCTCACTTTGATCTGGTGTTGATCATGTGCTTCAGCATTCTACTGGGCAGGTCTGGCAGAAGGAATAGCATCAGTTGATTGGGTATGTCTGTCTGAGTGTTGTGGGCCAGTGGATTGAGAGATTTGGGAAGTCAATGTGTAGGCCTAGGCTGATTTCTAATGAAAATTTAAATCACAGCTATGGCTATTAGAAAGAAAAGGAAAGTGACTGATGATAAATGTGTAGCTCAAAGTAAGTGAATTGAAAAACGTGTCTTTGTGCTAAACGTGTTACTGTATGGTGCCACACATATTGAAAGCAAGGTTGTTACCAAGCCCAAGCTCATTCTGCTCGATTCATGACAGGCTAATAAATCGAGAGACGAGTTGTTGGAGCAAGGAATGATGACTTTAATCAGAAGGTTAGCAGAAAGAGGAGATGGTAGACTCAAGTCTCGCAAAAACCATCTTATCTCAGTCAGGATTCAGGGTTGTTCCTAAATTATTTCCTGAACATAATCCTGAATTATACAGGGTTGTATATAACAATAGGAAGGGGGAAGGGGCTTTCAGTGGCCCTGAGCAATGGCAGAACAGGGCTGTTAACTGGTTGCTGGTTGACAGTTGCTCACTTGGTTGGGAGAGGGGTCCCACCAGAGTCCCCCAACCCACTGCTGAGTGGGACTATTCTAGCTAGCATCTGTCTCAGTGGAGTGTGCAGGCAGGAGCCAGGGAGGGGAAGGCCCCTTATACCTTAGGTCCCGTCTGGGACCACTGCTACAAGCAAGGTCACTGACTGAAACGCTTTCAGAAGGCAGGCAAGTAACATTCCTCATTTCATTGATTCAGAGATGCATCTTTCTTTTGGCATTTAAACATCTTTGAAACTGGAGTGCATGTTACAACTGATGGTAAGTCATAGTTTAATGGCAGTGTCGTTTTTGTCTTATTATAAAATACTAGCATCATAATCAGATGTTTTGAAAATCACACCCTTTTATGTCAGCCATGCACTTTGAAAGAGAGGTATAGATACAAATACTTATTCTTCTACTATGAGAAAAACAACGGAACAGGGGACATGACAAATGGCAGCTACTTTGTTATTTCTGTGTCTAGGAGCCAATAGAGAGAAGTTCAGTTCAGTTCAGTCACTCAGTCGTGTCCGACTCTTTGTGACCCCATGGACTGCAGCACACCAGGCTTCCCTGTCCATCACCAACTCCTGGAGCTTGCTCAAACTCATGTCCATCAAGTCAGTGATACAATCCATCCACCTCATTCTCTGTTGTCACCTTCTCCTCCCACCTTCAATCTTTCCCAGCATCAGGGTCTTATCTAGTGAGTCAGTTCTTTGCATTAGGTGGCCAAAGTATTAGAGTTTCAGCTTCAAGCATCACACCTTCCTGTGAGTCAGACACAACTGAGTGACTGAACTGAACTGAACTGATGTTCTTTATATTGGCACATATTTTATCTCACGTGGCCCTTACCACAGCCATGTGAGGTACAGAGGCAGGTATGTTTACCCCTGTTTTATAAATGAGGTTGATGAAGTTGAGTGATGCTCAATTACTTGTCCTGTGTTGCACAGCCAGAATCAGAACCCTGGTCTTCTAATAATTTTTGTTTCCCACTTTATCATCCATCCTTTCATTGATCACAATCTGTAGTAGCAGCTGTCAAATACTTTTGTTTTCTAAACCTAAGAATTTAGGTTTAGGTAATTTAAAAGTAATCACATTTTTATAATCAGAAAATAGAACATCTTGAGCAAATTTTACCACACTTTCTTCTGTTTAGGGGAGAAAGTGAAAGTGAAGTCATTCAGTTGTGTCCAACTCTGCGACCCCATGTACTGTAGCCTACCAGGCTCCTCAGTCCATGGAATTTTCCAGACAAGAGTACTGGAGTGGGTTGCCATTTCCTTCTCCAGGGCATCTTCCCAACCCAGGTATTGAACCTGGGTGTCCCGCATTGCAGGCAGACGCTTTACCATCTGAGCCACTGGGGAACTTTAGAGGAGGCAGAGATTAAATTTTAAAAGCTATACACATAATATGCCCTGTGGTATTTGCTAGTCTGGGCCTCTGAACCCAGTGTTAAACTTTGAAATTGACTTTCCTTTTTTTCTTTCTTTTGTTCTCAACTTTTGTTTTTTCTAATGCTCTCTCTTACTATTAAATCCTTAAAACAGAAGATACAATCTGAATCTAACCCCGTTTACCCTTTTTTTTTTCCTTTTTCCTTTCTGGCCAGTTAAAAAATTGAGCCATATTTAAAAATCAGTAGTTTCACATAAAGATCTAGATTTCTGGATTTCTGGCTTCCTTTGAAAACTCCTAACACTCCTGAACACTGGGCCTATGTCACCACAGGAAACCATTAGGTGGGGTAGCAGGGGGAAAAGGGAACTGCTCCTGGAGGCAGGATGCACTCTCCAGTTTGCCAGTTGCCATTACTCTCTCAACAGCAGTAGCAGAAAAAATCTACTTCTGCTTTATTGACTACGCCAAAGCCTTTGACTGTGTGGATCACAACAAACTGTGGCAAATTCTTAAAGAGACAGGAATACCAAACCAGCTTACCTGCCTCCTGAGAAATCTGTATGCATGTCAAGAAGCAACAGTTAGAACCAGTCTGTTGTTCTGGTTCCAAATCAGAAAAGGAGTACGTCAAGGCTGTATATTGTCACCCTGCTTATTTAAGTTATATGCAGAGTACATCATGTGAAATGCCAGGCTGGATGAAGCACAAGCTGGAATCAAGATTGCCAGGAAAAATATCAATAACCTCAGACATGCAGGTCACACCACCCTTATTGCAGAACCGCAGCACACCAGGCCTCCCTCTCCATCTCCAACTCCTGGAGTTTACCTAAACCCATATCCATTGAGTCAGTGATGCCATCCCACCATCTCCTCCTCTGTCATCCGCTTCACCTCCTGCCCTCAATCTTTCCCAGCATCAGGGTCTTTTCCAGTGAGTCAGCTCTTCACATCAGGTGGCCAAAGTATTGGAGTTTCAGCTTCAACACCAGTCCTTCCAATGAACACCAAGGACTGATCTCCTTTAGGATGGACTGGTTGGATCTCCTTGCAGTCCAAGGGACTCTCAAGAGTCTTCTCCAACACCACAGTTCAAAAGCATCAATTATTCTGTGCTCAGCTTTCTTTATAGTCCAACTCTCACATCCATACGTGACCACTGGAAAAAGCATAGCCTTGACTAGACAGACCTTTGTTGACAAAGTAATGTCTCTGCTTTTTAATATGCTGTCTAGGTTGGTCATAATTTTCCTTCCAAGGAGCAAGTGTCTTTTAATTTCATGGCTGCAATCATCATCTGCAGTGATTTTGGAGCCCAGAAAAATAAAGTCAGCCACTGTTTCCACTGTTTCCCCCTCTATTTGCCATTAAGTGATGGGACCAGATGCCATGATCTTAGTTTTCTGAATGTTGAGCTTTAAGCCAACTTTTTCACTCTCCTCTTTCACTTGCATCAAGAGTCTCTTTGTTTCTTATTCACTTTCTGCGATAAGGGTGGTGTCATCTGCGTATCTGAAGTTATTGATATTTCTCCCGGCAATCTTGATTCCAGCTTGTGCTTCTTCCAGCCCAGCGTTTCTCATGATGTACTCTGCATATAAGTTAAATAAGCAGGGTGACAATATACAGCTTGATGTACTCCTTTTCCTATTTGGAACCAGTGTGTTGTTTCATGTCCGGTTCTAACTGTTGCTTCCTGACCTGCATATAGGTTTCTCAAGAGGCTTGCTTTTTTGGTGATCCAGCAGATGTTGGCAATTTGATCTCTGGTTCCTCTGCCTTTTCTAAAACCAGCTTGAACATCTGGAAGTTCACGTATTGCTGAAGCCTGGCTTGGAGAATTTTGAACATTACTTTACTAGCATGTGAGATGCATGCAACTGTGCAGTAGTTTGAGCATTCTTTGGCATTGCTTTTCTTTGGGATTGGAATGAAAACTGACCTTTTCCAGTCCTGTGGCCACTGCTGAGTTTTCCAAATTTGCTGGCATATTGGGTGCAGCATTTAACAGCATCATCTTTGAGGATTTGAAATAGCTCAACTGGAATTCCATCACCTCCACTAGCTTTGTTCATAGTGATGCTTCCTAAGGCCCGCTTGACTTCACATTCCAGGATGTCTGGCTCTAGGTGAGTGATCACACCATCATGATTATCTGGGTTGTGAAGATCTTTTTTGTATAGTTCCTTTGTGTATTATTGCCACCTCTTCTTCATACCTTCTGCTTCTGTTAGGTCCCTACCATTTCTGTCCTTTATTGAACCCGTCTTTGCATGAAGTGTTCCCTTGGTATCTCTGATTTTCTTGAAGAGATCTCTAGTCTTTCCCATTCTATTGTTTTCCTCTATTTCTTTGCATTAATCGCTGAGGAAGGCTTTCTTATCTCTCCTTGCTATTCTTTGGAACTCTGCATTCAAATGGGTATATCTTTCCTTTTCCCCTTTGCTTTTCCCTTTCCTTCTTTTCACAGCTATTTGCAAGGCCTCCTCATTCAGCCATTTTGCTTTGTTGCATTTCTTTTTTGGGGGATGGTCTTGATTCCTGTCTGCTGTACAGTGTCACAAACCTCCGTCCATAGTTGATCAGGTACTCTGTGTATCAGATCTAGTCCCTTAAATCTATTTCTCACTTCCACTGTATAGTCTATAAGGGATTTGATTTAGGTCATACCTGAATGGTCTAGTAGTTTTCTCCACTTTCTTAAATTTCAGTCTGAATTTGGCAATGAGTTCATTATCTGAGCCACAGTCAGCTCCCGGTCTTGTTTTTGCTGACTGTATAGAGCTTCTCCATCTTTTGCTGCAAAGAATTACGTAAATATCTATTATTAGTATTTCTCACATTCCATAAGTAGTTGGGTCAGCAGAGGTTCTGGAGTCTCAGATTCCCCATCTCAAGCTTCAGCTCTTTGTCTAGACCACAGCACCTATGGAATTGGTTATCTTGTCTTGCCAATAGAGCAAGAGCTTATTATAAGAAAAAGTCAGCCAGCATCTTAGAATCTGAGCCTCTGTACTGTGTGGTTTAGGCAAAGCTTAGATATTGAACCTGAAAAATTGGATTTTCACATTTTGAAGGGCTACCTGGGGATAAGAAGTTGTCCAAGATTATAGTTCATCTGTATCTTTCTCATAGTCTGACCTTAGGCTAGTTCTTTCCTTCTGTGTTTGATGTCTTCATTCTATATTGCTTTATGAAAAAAAGA